TTTGAACAGACTGTGATCTGACTTTCCACAGTAACAGCAGTACATCGCTTCGTTGATGATACATTGAACTAGGGGCTCACAGGTGGAAGCAGGGAAACAGAAGATGGTCCTGCCTAGCTGGACTAGAGTGGTAGCAGTGAGGGAGTAAAAATGTAGATTCCAGATATATTCTGAAGGTTGGGTCAACAGGGTTTGCTAATATAACTTTAGTAACTCAGGTAACCCAAAGTAGTTTTATTCAGGACCTTGTCACAGGAGTTTTCCAACGTTGTGGTCATTATAAAACTTCAATAGCAGTACATCTCACATGGCTAATAACTTCAAATTTCTATTTGACGTGTTGTTAATGTTTGCTAATAAAGCAGCCTGTTAGCTTTTCATCACGTTCAGATAGCCTATATTCAGTGACTGGCCTGTGTGTAGATTTCTGTATAGGTTTTGGTTTCTGTAGTTTGTTTTTGTCAAAGTTTTCTTCCCTTACGCTTAACTAAAGAAAATACAAAAACATTGCCATGTTGTATTCCGTTTAGAAGAATTTACTTAGTCATCTGTTTCATCTTGCCAAGAATATTCTCCTGTTCTCTCCCTTTCCTTCTCTCTCATAACCCGTGCACCAATCCCAAAGCATTAGATTTTTCCAGAGGTCCTGGCATTTTATTAATTAGTAATTTTTTTTCTTAACTTGATAGGCATTTCTTTTTGAAAACATTATAATTGAGTCTAAAAATGTTTGGTCATATCAAAGTTAGATTTGAATATATGGTACCTCATGACCTGCAGTGGGAACTTGCTTTGGAGAAGCATAAATTGCATAAAAGGCAATTGTGTAACGCTTTGAAATTCAGGGAAGCATATCTTCATAGTACATGTTTCTCCCAACTCCCAAGTGTCCCACACTAGTGACATTTTGGGTCAGGTACTTTCTTGTGGGAGGCTGTCCTGTGTATTACTGCCTCTACTCACTACATAGCAATAGTATTTCCCCTTAGTTGTGACAATCAGAAATGTCTCCAGTCATTGCCAAATGTCCCCATGGGCACAAAAGTCTCCCCTGGTTAAGACCCACTGTATAATACTACATTGTTCCTGCTTTACCTCCCCACAGGCATTAATTAAGGCATGCGTGTCTTCTTTTTTCTGTCCTCTTCCCTTTTATTCCTCATTTTCTTGTGAGAGGATACGAAAACTTTCATTATGTTTCACATCTTTCTCATTTCTTCCTCTCACCCCGAAATTAAAAGAACTCTAGAAAGAAATAGTACAGTTGCCAAGGTAAATGCAAAGCCTGGCTCCCTGCCTGCCTTCAGTGGCTCTATTAAGCATTAAGAGTCAGTGGGTTTTTCTTGTCGCCCCCCAACTCCTGGAGACAGCTTTATCCTACGTCACCTGGGCGTGGAGAGACGAAGCATTCTTAGACCTTTCTGTGGCTCTGACCTACTGACATCCAATTTTAATAGCTGAAGTTGAAGTTGCTTCTCTAAATGCAAATGGCCATGCGCAAAGTTACTTTCTGTTCCGAGTGGGACCTGTGCCCAGGAGGTTTGGGGGCTTGGTGTCGAGTTCTCAGAACTGTGCAAAACCCCAGAGCCAGACAGTCATAGACACTCAGCCAGAAGCCTCCACCCAAGCATTTCTGCCTGCGCTTCCTTGAAATGGTTTTCCTCCTAACTGGTGAACACGCCTGGCTGCTCTTTGGTCCCCTTCTGTTCTCAGTTCCCCTTTCACCTGCGTAGGGCCAGACTTGATAAACAGGTGTTCATCACATTACACTAGTTGCTATGGCATTATGGATTTCGTACAGTATTTCTTCCCCTATTGCGCTTGGTTGCTGACATTTCTTCTACCTCTCTTACTCCCAACTTCCCAGAAGTCCCTCATATTGTATCAAGAAATTGAAATTCTCATTAAAATGAAAACGTGGGGTTTTTTTTATTCTTTATTATAAGACGTACACTGCTTCATCCTCTGCATTACTTTAGCAAGATTGAACATAATGCATGATTAGTTTGAATGTGGGATTTTAATAATTGTACTTAGAAAAATGTCATGAATTATATGATCTAAAATTTGTCTTGTGTTTCTAACTGCCTTGCTTCTCTTCTCCCACCCACTGTTCCAAAAAGAAATCATCTCCTTGATTTAGAAAGAAAAGAATGAGGGGTGCCGGCCTGACTTGGTCAGGGGAGCATGCAGCTCATGATCTTGAGGTCATGAGTTCAAGCCCTGTGTTGGGAGTAGAGATTACTTTAAAAAAAAAAAAAAGAAAAAAGAATGTCTGTGTCTTTTGCTTATTAGATGTGAATTCTTTCACCGCTGCTGTCCTTGTGCGCCTGGGCAGCGAGCACGTATGATATGGCCAAAGCATTTTCTCCTGTCAGGTAGAAAACCTTTCTAGCTGTCATAACTCTTCCCACCAGTATCCATTCAATTTGAATTTGGGAGCAGTCAGAGGAAGGTCCATGGCTTTAGGCGGTAGGGTTGAAATGCTTAGCAAATTACCAGTGTCCCTCTGTGCTGCTTTTGCAGTTTGCCAAGCCAGATTTCCTTTCAGCTTGTCTTCTTCCCACATTTGTTCCTGACAACCCCCACTCTGTAGCCTGCAAGGCCCGGGCTGGGCTGGGAGAGTCCTTACCGAATAAAGAAGATTGACATCTTCCCCTCCCACCCCACAGGAAGTAGAAGCTCTTCCAGATTGAGTAGTCTATCCATAAGTTTGCTCATCTATTCTTTTTTTTTTTAGATTTTATTTATTTATTTGACAGAGAGAGAGAGGTCACAAGTAGGCAGAAAGGCAGGCAGAGAGAGAGGGGGAAGCAGGATCCCCACTGAGCAGAGAGCCCGATGTGGGCCTTGATCCCAGGACCCTGAGATCATGACCTGAGCGGAAGGCAGAGGCTTAACCCACTGAGCCATCCAGGCGCCCTGCTCATCTGTTCTTAATGGTTGTATTCCCAATGAGTAGTTTGAAAGCCACCTTAATGGGAGTGTGTATATGGAAAGGATAAAAGGGAAAACAAATATTTGTCGTGCCTGTTTTCTGTAGTGAAGCTTGTTTGGCGAACAGGCTGACATTTGGAGCTTCTGCAATTTTGTTTGGCTGTAACCCACGCATTAAAAACCTTGCTTTTCTCAAACAAGTGTTTGCCAGAGGGCAGGGGAGTGAAGGAATGGGTGAAACAGGTGAAGGGGGTTAAGAGGCACAAACTTCCAGTTGTTATAAAAGAAACTAGTCATGGAGATGAGAAGTGCAACGTAGGGAATACAGCCAATAATACTGTAGTAATGTTATACGGTCACGGATGGTGGCTACACTTACCGTGATGAGCACTGAATAATGTATAGAATTGTCGAATCAACTATGCTGTGCACCTGAAACTAATCTAACATACAACATGACATCTTGTGTCAAATATTACAATAAAAGTTTTTTGAGCACAGTTTTTCTGAAATCCACACTTTAAAGGTAGAGTAATTTAGAAAGTAGTATTTCCTCTAAAATATTTACCACAACATTAAATGGTCAGTTTGTTGATTACACAAAAAAATTCAACATGTTTTACAATTACCTATTCAGGAAAGTATCTGTGGTGTGAAGATGAGCATGGTGATAATAAGCTCAGGACAGAGAATTAAAATGGGAATTTTCTATCAGAATGAGTAACTTAAAAGAGAAATTGCATACCTCTTTTCCTCTTCTTTAAATGTAGGAAACTCTACTTTGATAATATTTTATATCTTTTACATAAAATTGTGGCAAGGCAAAGTGATGTTTTTAATAATGATCTTTAGAGGAGGTATACATATAGACATAGATACACACACACACACACACACACACACATCCATATATATATATGGTGAGATTTAATACTGTATCACTTATGTAAAATGAAAGCAATGATTGGACACCGCTGTTTACAGCCAGCACTTAGGGAATCAACCTAGAGTTCCCAGGTCTGCCTTTGTGTCCGCAAATTAATCTGCCAGAGATCAGATCACTGCTATAAAAGAATACATGTACCCTGTAAACATTTGGAGTCAACATGCATTTTCTTCAGACTGGTTTTCTGAACATTTTCTTCTCTCAGTTAAGCATTGCACTAAAAGGGGGTGATATTTACTGTTTGTTTTCTATTCTTTTTTAATGAAAATTATGCAGATGTGTTAGAAAAACCTCTGGTGACATTGAACACATGGCTCTTGGGGAATCTGTACAAGTGTATTGTTTCTACATTTTTAAATTCAGGAACAAAACATGCTATGAGATCAAAGGCTTGGAAGTGCTATGTGAACTTACTTTACACTTCTTTCCGAGCACCGAAGAAATGACCACGAAGTGAATAAATGAGTCTCTGAGCAGTCTCTGAGGAAGTAAGAGGTTACCATTAACATTTATTCAACTTCAGTTTCATTTAACTGTTTTTGTCTGGCTCTTATCTGAGCAGATAATGCAAGTACCGTGGGTGTAGAAATTGAAAGCAGAGTACAGCTCAAAAGGCACTTATGATCTTTTTGGGAAAATAAAACACATGAAAAAATGTTTTTTAATTAGACTGTGTATAGCACAGAGTATAGTCCCCATCATTTATCTTGCTGACGAGACTACATAAAAGAAAGAAATGACCGAGAAATGCTTACTGTTTAAATATTTATTTAGGTACTGGAGAAAATTGAGGTGACTTATCTTGCAGGTTTTTCATCAGCAAATTGGCATCCTTTATGGTGGTGATGATTAAAATACATGCAAAGCATATAAACAGAGTGTCTGGCACATAGCAAATGCTTAGTGAATGACAGCTACTCAGAATAGTAACATCATCTGATTTAATAATAGTACCTATGAATTACATAGTATTTTTCCATTCTGCAAATGATGAAATTAACACTTTAAGAGGTTAAGTAGTTTACTGAGAATTCTCTGGCTAAATAAGAGCTTCAGCTAGGATCGAACCCAGGGAATCTAACTCGAGACCAATCTCTCAACAACAATACTGTTATACTGCCCTTACTATTCATTCATTTATTTGCACAAAAATTAATTGGACATATCTGCATGCCAGATACCATTTGTCATTAATTACATTATTTATATTGAATACAGAGGGAAATTTACAAAATGTGATGAAGATAGGCATATAATGACATCATATTCGCTCTTTATTTTGACCAAACTTAATCCAAATATTCAAATATATTTATAAAAACACTGGCTTAATAAATATGGGAATCAATGAATATTGCTTCTCCCAGTAACATAAGCAGATGATACAAGATAATGCCTTTATAAAACCTTGGATTTTTACACTCTGCTATTCATACATCTGGATAGGACTTGAGCGACATAATTTCTGATTCACTTTTTTTCTTTTACTCATTTTTAAAGTTACCAAAAAACACTAGCCATAGATGGGCCCTTACACTGAAACTACTAGAAAGCAGAAAAGTTACAAACCATTTGCTGCTTTATCCTGCAGTCATGACCTGTTGTGTTTTAAAGAAAAGCATACACAGTTGCGTTTAAAGAGAAAATGGTCTTTTGCTTTCATATGCAGTGAGATCCTTTTAATATGCTTGACTTTTGCCTCTGAGAGGCTCTGCCATCTCAACTTGTAGTATTAGTAGAGCTGTAAAATGAATTTTATGATTATTTATAAAACCGAAGAGGTTTTCCTACTGCCTGCTTTCAAGCAAGCTGTGACCTGTTGATCATGGTGTTCAATATCCCTAGTAGCCATATAAACACTTTTCTGTTTGGTGGTGTTTTCTATTCAGAAGTCAACTATAGGCTTGTATATGTGGGGATTCCGATTTTGTAAAGAGATTATATAGTGTCTTTTTGAACGTTTTATCTAAAAAAAGAAATATAATGGGGTCTGTGCTACTTCTAGCTGATGCAAGACAGGTGAGGACATTTTTAATTTCAATTAAATAATTCAGTCGCTGACAGTTCTCACTTTGGTGTAGAACATAAAAAATGGGTTTAAAAATGCTGTATGGAAGGAAGCAAACTATTAGTAGAATCTGGATGACCAAAAGGTGCCTTTTCACAGAACTGTAAGTCAGATCTTTCTCCGTAATGGATGTACAGGTCCTTATTTTTCTCAGATGGCTGACAAAAGAGTAATATGATGTTAGTACGACTAAAAAGGAAAATCCGATAAATGTGGTTCCAATGAGGCCCGCAGTCTGCGAGATCATGGCTCCTAGTTCCGTCTGCCGGTTATAGCATACATTCTCCTCTCCTTCTGTAGCCTCTACAACTGAGTAGTATATGATAACTGGCATAATTATGCCTAGTACAACTCCCCATATGTAAACACACAGTTTTCTAGCAAAGTTGGGCTGGCGAAATTTTTTCAGTAAATGGCCATAAAATACTTTCTCGTAGCACGAAGTGGTCTCTTGTACTGAGTCCTTTTTCATTAAGGTAGCATAGCGGCTTATGGCAATCCAACTTAAAATTAAGAGGCTAACAAACATACTTACATGCATGGATAGAGTTCCCAAAAAATTGACCACTGTGCATTGTGCAGATCGATACTCCCATTGAGAACCTTTTAGGAAATAGATACCCATGAAAGGCATAGCACTGCACACAAGTAAGTTTGCAGTCACAAGATGTGCTAGGTAGATGTGCGTTGATGTTTTCTTGCCTATCTTTGTTAAAAATACCCACTGAGAGAGAGAATTTCCAAAGAGACCAATGATGCAGAGGAAGGTGTAAATGATTGGCAAAGCCAGGGAAGAGATCCTGGATGGTTGAATACATGTTGAATTGTTGCTCATTTATATCAGATTTTCTTGGAATTTTGTCTCAGGAGCTAGAACAGAATGGCAGATATTTAATGTTAAAATTATAGATGGTATTTAAACTGAATAGTTTTTTAAAAGCATTGGATGAAATAAAATAGTAATGTAAATTTATTGGGTGGAAAGAGGATATAGATGCTTTCTCACCTTTTCTAATCACGGTTGTCCAGTGGAACTACAAGTAAGACTTGATGGTGGACAGTACCTTTGTCTAAAAAATGAAATTTGATACAAATAGTTAAAGGCCCGAGATTTATCATTCTTTGATTGTTTTTTTGCCTAGAAAGGTAATTGAGATATTTTAAAGCACATGAAAGCAATACATACTGGCCAAAGGAAAGTGTTACAAAAGTATTTTGTGGCCACCCTACTACTTAAGACTTTTAATTACCACCTTAATTGTATATAAAGTGTACATAAATGCTTTTCAAAATGGCTTCTCTCCAGGATGAGGTTAAAGCACCCTCTGTAATCTAATACCATTAGAATAGTGTCATTTTGCATTTCAGAAGTAAACTTAATTCCACACAAATACTCAGACAAGATCCTGACTCAAACAGAAGGTAAGTATAGTGACCAAGGATAGACATCAAAATCCCAAGGTCTTTACCAAAAGACATCAGAAATTTCCTATTTCAAATATTTAATGTTAAAATACCATACTTCAGTTTTTTAAAAAAGTTTACTTTAAATTCTGTGTCAAAACTGTAGTTGCTATGCTTGTTGGTTAGAGTGCCCTCATGTGTCTTTGTGTATAATTTTAGTACCTTGTTTTTTCAGAGAATATGATTTTTTTAGAAGACATTTTAATCACGGCATAAATACAGGCATGGTTTTTGTTTTTTATGTTTTATTTTTTGTTTTTAAGTTTATTTTTTTTTTTGTAGTAATCTCTACACCCAACACGAGGCTCGAACCTAGGATCCCGAGATCAAGCGTCACGTGCTCTTCCGACTTAGTTAGCCAGGTGCCCCATGTCTTATTTTTAAATCTTTTTTTTTTAATCTTTCTTGCATCAGATGGTACACAGGAAATGTTGAAGAGTCGCATACAAACTCTCTTTCATTATTTTGTTCTTCCTTATTTCTTTCAGGTGGGAATTACAAGTTATTGGATTCAGGTCAAGTAAGAATCATGAGCTTTATTCAGAATGTGCCACATTTCTCTGTGTTTATCACCATAGCTTTCTAGGTACCACATTCTCTTTCATAAAAATCTAGAGTGGGGATTTTTTTAAACCTTTTTTTAAATCACATTCGGTCTTTTGATAAACACAAAAATGTTGCCATGGATCTACCTTCATATATGCCCCCAGCCCCTCTGAGCTATTTCACTCTGCCCCTCTTCAGAGTCACAGTTTTAAGTTTTGCATCATGGATTACAGAAATATGGAAGGTTTTTTCCCAAATATGCTGTTAGAATTTTTAAGTAATTTATTTTTTTATTTTTTATTTTTTGAAATATTTTATTTATTTATTTGACAGAGATCACAAGTAGGCAGAGAGGCAGGCAGAGAGAGAGGAAGGGAAGCAGGCTTCCCACTGAGCAGGGAGCCTGATGTGGGGCTCGATCCCAGGACCCTGAGATCATGACCTGAACCACAGGCAGAGGCTTTAACCCACTGAGCCACCCAGGTGCCCCTTAAGTAATTTTTTAAACCAAGCAATCCCCACACAAAGTCTTTGAAAGCCTGAGGGTCTGTGCAGTGCCTCTAGCTTCCAGTACGGAGACCCTTTACTAATGTCTACCAGTGTCTATCATTTTATTTCTTTGCAATCTTTATTTAGAAAACAGTCCAGATGCTTCAGAGTGAGTATGTATCTGAATACAGTGCAGCCCGGCAGATTGGAATCTGGTTGCAATTAGTGCACTGTCAGTTGTAAATATATAAAGCCTGATCCATACTGATTTAAAACCAGTCAGATAGAGAGTGAAATAAGCCAGTTTATTTCCTAAGAACAATTGATTCAATCCAAGTAGATCTTTTTATAACAAATGGAGCTTCCAGGGTGCCGGTGGCTCAGTCAGTTAAGTGTCTGCCTTCAGCTCAGGTCATGATCCTAGGGATTGAGTTCCGCATCGGGCTCTTTGCTTAGTGGGGAGCCTGCTTCTCCAACTCTGCCTCTGGCCCCGTGTGTGTTCTCTTTCTCTCTCTCTTTCTCGGTCAAATAAATAAATAAAATCTTTTTTTAAAAAGGCAAGAAAGAAATGGAACTTCCTTTTATGGTTAGAGTAATGAAAAACACTACCCCTGCCTTGTGTAGATAATGCGTTATATACTAAAATCTGAAAAGGTAATAGTGCTTCTGTATTCACAGATCGTATTCCCTTTGTCACCTCGCTTTGCTATTTCACACTAGCAGATGCTTCCAAACAAAAAGGAGGGAGAAAGACTCTGATGATCAGTTATCAAAATTTAAACATTTTAGTCCTGTTAGAGTTTTTACAGAGTTAACTTTTAAGCTACAAGTAAGTGATCAGTCTTACCTTAAGTAGTTTACACCAGTCAAGGCTCTGTTGTTCAGGACAGGGATGCAAAATTTCAGACTTAAAATTCTCCGACCATCCAGTATCTTTCAGTTCTAGTCAGTGCGACCAGATTCTTGCATGACACCAACTACAGTGAGGGGAAAAAGGAAATTAAACATATTGAAGAAATTGAATAGTTATGGTAAATGTAGCAACTACCTCTCAAAAAAAACCCTCATTTCTCTATTTCTGTGGTGGGAGGAAGTTGGTGGACAATATATATATTGTACTTCCTTATGATTATTTTATGAACCAGCTCTACCTCAAGGAGCTTTATATTAGCATGCTTGGCTGAAGTTAAGTTCAAAGGTTTAGTCCCCGTAGCTAGTTTTATACATCACAGTGGTAGAGGGAACCACTTCATACTCACCCAAGAAAATATTAGTACAAACTTGTCTGTAAAATCGCTTGTGGATAGTTCATTTGCAGTTCATCTTTATCAAGAATAAAAGGAAACAAACCCAAAGTTTTCTTACCAGTAGCGGCTTACTGAAATCAGATATCACAGAGCTGGAATAGAACTTCATGATCGTCTATGGAAACAAACCCTTCATTTTAAGGATAAAGAAGTGAGTGAGATCCAGGGCACCTGATCTGAGGGTGGCTCAGTCGGTTCAATGTCTGCCTTCCGTTCAGGTCATGATTTCAGGGTCCTGGGGTCGAGTCCCACATCAGGCTTCCTGCTTAGTGGGGAGTCTGCTTCCTCTGCCCCTCCCACCCACTAGTGCTTGCCCCCTCCTCCACAAAAATAAATAGTCTTCTTCTTTTTTTTTTTTTTTGAAAAGGCAAGAAGTGAGACCCAGCGTAGCACACTGTAAGTAAATACAGACTGCACTCGAGTTTGGGTCCCAACTAGGTTACCAAGTGAACTAACCCATTCTACTTCCAACTGCCCTGTGAGCCCCCATTCAAATTCAAATTAGTGTCCATGGTTTGGAGCATTTCATAAAGGCTTTGGGGAATCCCAGAAAGTGCCAGAATCTGAAGACCAAATATTCCTCGGATATAATGAATAGTTACATCATGCTATAAAGAATCCAGTTTTATATATAGGATCGTGTAATGAGCCTACGAACTAGTAACTAACTGAAAGCTCAGGGTACAACTGAGGAGCCAGACTAGCGTCACACACTCCCCTCCCTTGTGTAGTGAAACCACCAGGAGGGAGTCAGAGAATGGGAACAGAAATCTAATTTCATCAAACTTGAGCATTTCAGTTATCAGTAAATCTGCATTTAAAATTAATAGAAGGACCTTGTCATTTCTCATAACCCCCAATGTGTATCTTTTTTCGTGTTGATTGCTTAAGTCCTCCCTACTGTTTGCATAATTGTTCTCTGTAAAACAAAAGTGAGAACTACTTAAGTGGATTTTGTTCTGCTGCTGTTCATCTTTGTCATGCTTGCTATTATTTCATTAAGGACAGTGACTCGTCCGGGGTTGTATGGCCATGGACTGCACAGTAATTTGGCCTCTCTGGAATTCCTATTATTTTTACTTCATCAATTTCTCATGTCCCAGGAAGGAATTACTTAGAACAAAAACCCGTTTGAACTAATTTAGAGAATGGAAGTAGAATGCTGTTTATAAGTGATTGAGAGATCATTTTAATATTACCACTTTGAGGCTTAAGCCCCTTTAGTCAAAAAAAGAGAGAGACAGAGAGACTGCTCTTGCCCTCCCCTACCTTTCCTCCATTGTCCCCAGACTCAGTAAATAACAGCATCACTTTCTCATTATTCAAGCCAAAAACCTAGGAATTATCTTGGTTCCTCTCTTTCCTTCACATCTCACATCCAGTCAATTCCTGTAGCTTCTCCCACCACCACCAGTGGTAGCCACACTTAATGAAAGCTTATAATGTGCCAGGCATCCTGGTCTGTGTTTTGTCTTATTTCATCTTCACAATACACTGTGAAATAAATAGTACAAAATATATTCAATTTAAAGGTGAGGAAAACAACCTCAGAAAGGTCACATAAATTGCCTAAGATCATGCAGCCATCTGTCCTCACAACATGATGACTGGCTTACATACACACACACATACAGCAAGTGACTCAAAACAAGACCATAGGTGCAGTATCTTTTTTTTTGTTTAATCTAGCCTCTGAAGTCAGCACTGTCACTTCTGCAGTATTTTCTTGGTCACACAGAGCCAGCAATGATTCAGTATAAAGAGGTAGATAGCAGGAGACAGTGATCATTGGGAGCCATCTTGGAAGCTGGCTACCACAAGATGTCAGTCAACCATTGGACTAGGAAAGAGTCAAAAGTACTTCTTAAAATGATTGTCAGGCAGCTGATCATTTATCGAGCAAGAATGCCTGGATTGGTGTACGTTCTGTCATTTCTTCCTGTCTCTTGATTTTTAGTGCTCTGTATTAAACAGGGCGGTTCATTTATTTTTTTTAAAGATTTTATTTATTTATTTGACAGACAGAGATCACAAGTAGGCAGAGAGGAAGGGAAGCAGGCTCCTGCTGAGTAGAGAGCCCAACACGGGGCTCGATCGCAGGACCCCAGGACCATGACCTGAGCCGAAGGCAGAGGCTTTAACCCACTGAGCCACCCAGGAACCCCAGTGCAGTTCATTTAATGAGTATTTATTGAAGTTCCTAGTATGTTTCTAGTGTTGTGTGGAGTCACAGAAGTGTATTAGCCACAGGCTAACATAGGGTTTCCAGAAATTCAGGAGCGATTCCACAAGCAAGCCAAGAATTCAGATTAATAATGTGATGTATGATAGAGACTTTAGATGCTCTACAAATTAGAAAGAGGAGAAAACAGTGAATCATAGTTGTTCTGGAAGGCCAAAGGAGCTAGAAGGAAAGGGAACACATACTAAGCTATAATTCTGTGCTAGGTAGGGACTGGGCAGAGCATTTTACATGTAAGAACTCTAACAATGGGTGGTAGAGGTTCCATTTCACATGTAAGGAAATTGAGTTCCAAAGAGGTTAAATTGTGTGCCCAAGGCAACACAACAAGTAAATGAACTTGAAAGCATGTGTATTTTTTTTTTTCAATCTCTTCCTCTGCCATTGAAAGCAGAAATTACTGGCCTTTCTCAGGGTTCATTTAGTTGTACCTGGTAGTACTTATGGTAAGTAAACTGGGGTCAAGTTTTGAATACTTTTTACTTTCTTCAAACAGGGCTTCCCGTCCTATGCTCTAAAGTAGCAGAATTGACCATGGGAGAAATCAAGTCCGATTTCTAATCGTTGAAAGCTTTGAACTTTAAGCTAAGCTATATCTCATCGATAGCAGTATAAATTCTTTTTGATTGAG